ACATACAGCACAGCAATGAAGTCATAAAATGAACTAGGATCACACTAATCCAGCACGTTATTAATCTCACGTGGCCGCCGCTTGAGTGGGGCAACTCAGATTAATAATGTGCTGGATTAGTGTGATCCTAGTTCATTGTATGACTTCATTGCTGTGCTGTATGTGTATAGGCCAATGCCTTGGCTGGCGCTCGTGCAGAAAGTTTCTTGGGCAAACTCACCGGCCCAAGTGGCTCAGTCGGCTAACGAAGGGGGGGGGAGTCCGGTGACATCACGGCCGGCAACGCCACCGGACTCCGCCCCCTTCCCTTCGTTAGCCGTCATGGACATCGACGTCACCGGACTCCTCCCCCCTTCCCTTCGTTAGCCGACGGAGCCACGTGTGGAAGGGGGGAGGAGTCCGGTGACGTCAATATCCGTGACGTCACCGGATCGCTGATGGGACAACCGGAAGCCGGCGGGGGTGAGTGTTTTCATTAGCGATCAAAATAATTTTAATCGATCAAAAAGTTTAACGATTAATGGCACCGCAGACACGCCTAGCCGCAGTGCGATCGCCCACACCAGAACGCAAGGTACAGAAATGCCCTTGGTTCCAGTGCAGTACCATAGGAACAACAAAATAGTGCATGCAGCATTTTTTCCGATCACACTGCGGGTGGAGGTGGCATTTCTGCAATGCCATCGACATGAATGGCGCTGACACACCCCCTCCTGCCCCAGAACGCTGCCTGGCTTAATCTATGCGATCCAGTGAGTTCCGGACTCGAACCGCACTGCATATGGTGTGACTGGGCCCTCAGTTGCAATCCAGTGCTTCCACATTCATTTTTGATGCAATCCACGGCATTCCAGAGAAAATGAGACCGGCAGTATTTTATTTTTGTCTGGACCAGAACGGACTGCGCTGGTGTGACTAGAGACAAGAAATACCATAGGGTCACATTGGGACGCTTTTTTGGTCCGGGAACAAACTGTTCTGGACGTGATCCGGACATGGTGTGAACAAGCCTGGGAAACCCACATCATCTGTACTGTGCATAGTTCAAAAAACTAGCACGGCATTCATCAACAACCAAGCCATCCCTCGGAATTGTTCCCCAAGCCCAATTCTGGACAATTCCCAAAACCATACGAAGCTGAACTCCAACTGAAAAGCTCCCCTTGCAGTGGGGGCTCCCCTTGCTTTTGTCTAGGGTACCGGGAAAAGGGACTACTTACTCGCCTTATTCCACACTATGACTGCTCACCCTCTTCGGCGTCCCGTTCACCCGCCACAGCTGTGGCGTCACGGTGTACAATACAGGACCAATAGCCTTGCAGTTAAGGCGCCGGAGCCCGATCCACAACCAGTAGCGTCAGAGAGAAAAGTGCCCCACTGAAAGGGTACATTTTTCTCTTACCTGGCGTTCAGCTTTAAAATGATCCCACCTCTACCCACCCAACTTAAAGGATCTATTGCTCATTTTTTCATAAGCAATGATCTATTACAGCAAAGGTAGGCAACCTCAGCGCGCCAGGTGGTGAAACTACGACTCCCACCAGGCATTGCAAGACTGGCCACACAGGCATGACTCCCAAAGGCAGAGGCATGATGGGATTTGTGGCCATTGTTGCTTACCCCTGGACTACAGAGCATTATGTACCTTAACCCGAGGTCCTGCAACACTGAATAGCCCAATCCCCCTTGCTCCAGCGCTGTAACGCCCTCTACTGGGAGTCACATCCCATCCTGATGAAGTGGCCGCTGGTCCTAGACTATGGGTGATGACGAGAGGGGTAATGACAAGACCGACCAGAAAATGACATAAGCATCAACTTCAGGAGTTTCGTTATGCAGCCAAGCCTTCGCCCCCCTCATCTTGCTTACACGCCTGTACATGTTACTACACATCGATGTGCAGGCACGCCTCGAGACTACAAGTCCCAAGATCCTCAGCACCCCCGAGGGAGATAGTCACCACTAGGGCTGCAACAACTAATCGACATAATCGATTATAATCGATTATTGAAAAAGTTGTCAACTTTTTCAATAATCGATTAATCGGCTTCCGATCAGTTGGCCCTGTTCACAACTCCACACGCTGTGCGCCGCACCTCCTCCCCACTTCACGCTCGCCGCTGCCAGACCCGCTCGCATATTTGAAAATAACCGTTAGCTGCAGCTCTAGTCACCACATACTGCAGCTGATGGACGCTCCGTGTCTGCACATCATGGAGGAACACTCCGATACAGGTGACCACACTGCTGCAGCATGCTGGAGACAGGAAGGCAGTGTAGTCACCCTGTTGCAGAAAGTCAGTACAACTTAAAAGGTTTTTATTTCTTAAGCGAACGCCTCCATAGGCACAGGAATACAATACTGGTCAAGGTTTGTTAGAGCTTTAAACGGAAAAAATAAAAACGCACCATTACTCGACTAGAAATATCTCCTAAATACAAATGAAAACCTGCAGACCTCTTATGTACACTTCCTATATGGGGCAACAGCTACAGGGAGGGAACTTTTATACAGTTCTGGGGTCCACATCTATGTGTGGGGACCACTAGACAGGCCCGTGGCCTACTGGCATAGGGATGTGGTACCGATAGACAGGCACGGGGGCATACGGCCATAGGGAGGGGATATCGGTAGGCAAGCCCGGGGCCCCCAGGGAAGGGGTACCGGTAGACAGGCTCGGGGGCCCATGGCACTAGGTTGGGGGTACCGGTAGACAGGCACGTGGGCATACGGCCATAGGGAGGGGGTATCGGTAGGCAAGCCCAGGGGGCCCTAGGGAGGGGGTACCGGTAGACAAGACCGGGGGCCCAAAACCATAGGGAGGAGGTACCGATAGACAGTCCTGGGGACCCACGGCCATTAGGGAGGGGGTACCGGCAGACAGGACCGAGGGCCCACGGTAATAGGGAGGGCACTTGAAAACCATGCTGGGGAGCACGGTCATATGGAGACTAGTAACCTGGCGTCCGTGTTCATAAGTAGGGGACCAGTTAACCGGCCTGAGGCCCACAACCATAGAGAAGGAACTGGTACACAGGCCTGGGGCCCATGGCTATAGGAAGGGGGCTGCTAAACCAACATGGGGCCCGCAGCAATGGGGTGGAGACCCCTACATAGTCCTGCAGTTCTATAGAAGAGGCCTCACTCACCTACAGAAATCAGAATATAAATAGGAGCCAAAAATCTGCAATAAAACTCCATTTACACCGCAAGCTGCAAAACGAGACCTGGTTTTGCCTATATGTAAACATTTACTGTCTATGGACCCATTTCAAAACTCTGCACCATTCAAATCCCTCTGACTCTATAAACAATGAACACATTGCCACCCCACCCCCCTTTCCCAAGCAAATGACCCCATTTGTGCTTCCAAAAGGTGAAAACAGCAGAGACTAGAGACCATTAAACCCAGCTCTCCCAACCCCCCACCAAAAAAACAATAGGGGTCTAGTTACAGAAAATTTTTGCAAGACATTCACACATTTTTCTAACTGGATTCAATTGAACAAATGTGGAAATCCTGGGTGAAAATTGCGCAACTATTGTGTGTAAACCGAAGTCAAATAAAAAAGTACAAAACATTCTCCGGGCCTCTGGCACATTCACCTGGAGCAAAGGCGACGTCACTGGGCCTTCTGCGAAAAACACCAGCGAGTCCCATTTGTGTTTTCACTAAAGATTCACACAAACTTCAACCTGGATTCCATCAGAAGTGTGAATCCTTGGTGAAAGTTGAGAATATTGTGTGAAAACATTTAGAACGAGCTCTCAGGGTTAAAACAATAAAAAGGAAGCGGATGCCCACCTTACTTCGGGCCTCTGGAGCGCTCGCTTCACCTGAGAGCCTAAATCGAATAGTGACGGCCGTGGCCTAGCAGCGGCTCCGCACAGTACATAACCACTTAACCAGTTGACATCCGCGGTGTTAAACCCCCTTCCCATCCAGGCCATTTTTCAGTATTCAGCGCTGCGGTACTTTGACTGACATTTATTCCGTCATGCAGCGCTGTACTGAAATTAATTTTATACCCTTTTTTGGGGACAGATAGAGCTTTCTTTTGGTGGTATTTATTCACCACTGGGGGTTTTATTTTTTTACTATATTAAGGAAAAATTACCGAAATTTAAAAAAGTGTCATTAGAGGGTCGCATCCAACACCCAAAAGAGTGAGACAGCCCGCTGATGCCATGTGTCATCAGAGGGCCGCATCAAACAACCCAAAAAGAGTCAGCCAGCCCCATGTTGACGCAAGTGAAGATGGCAAACTGCAGGACAACTCTGGAGTGGCTGCACCTATGGGGGGTATGTAGGAGGTGGCTGCACCTATGGGGGGTATGTAGGAGGTGGCTGCACCTATGGGGGGTATGTAGGAGGTGGCTGCACCTATGGGGGGGATGTAGGCGGTGGCTGCACCTATGGGGGGTATGTAGGAGGTGGCTGCACCTATGGGGGGTATGTAGGAGGTGGCTGCA